GCATACATAAATCGCCAGGGCGGCGTCAGGTCACGAAACCTTAACAGGCTGACGGAACGCCTCCTGGTCTGGGCTCAGCACAACCTGCTCTCACTGAGAGCAGCGCACGTGCCTGGTCACCTGAATGTGGGACCAGACAGACTGTCCAGGAACAATGTTCCAGCAGGGGAGTGGTCGCTGCACCCGCAGACGGTCCAGCTGCTGTGGAAAACATTCGGCAGAGCACAGGTGGACCTATTCGCGTCCCACGAAAACGCTCATTGCCCGAAGTTTTTCTCGAAAAGCAAGGACGCGCTGGCTCATGTTTGGCCCCGCTGCCCCCTATATGCTTTTCCTCCTGTCTCGCTCCTGCCTCAGGTGTTGGAACGAATCAGGGAAAACGGATGCCCAGTGCTGCTCGTAGCTTCGCTCTGGACAAACCAGACGTGGTTCCCTGCCCTGATGCAGCTGACCAGCACTGCCCCATGGCCTGTACCATTGAGGAGAGACCTCCTCTCTCAGGCGGAGGGCTCCATTTGGCACCCTCGCCCGGAGCTGTGGTCCCTGCACGCATGGGCCATCAACGGGTACCCGCTAGCCTCCCAGAAGGAGTGTTAAACACGATCGCGCAGGCTAGAGCTCCGTCTACCAGGCGGCTCTACTCCTCGAAATGGTCTGTTTTCTCTGCATGGTGTCAAGCCCAGAGTTTTTCACCTGTGGAATGCGGGGTTTCGGAAGTGCTTTCCTTCCTTCAAGAGCTACTGGATAAGGGCAGGACCCCATCCACGCTCAAAGTATATGTGGCGGCCATAGCAACGTTTGCAAAACCGGTGTCTGGCCAGTCGCTGGGGAAGAACGACTTAGTCGTGCGTTTCCTTAGGGGAGCTCGGAGGTTAAACCCTCCCAGGCCCCCTTCAGTCCCGACGTGGGACCTTTCCAAGGTCCTGGAGGCCATGAAAGGCGCCCCGTTCGAGCCAATCCAGCTGGTGGACATGAAACACCTGTCGTTCAAAACAGTGTTTCTCATGGCTCTCGCTTCAGTGAAGCGCATAGGGGACTTGCAGGCGCTTTCAGTAAGCGCGTCATGTATGGAGTTTGGGCCTAATGACTCGAAGGTCATTCTCAAACCTAAGCACGGGTATGTGCCGAAATCCCTCAATACACCGTTTAGGGCCCAGGTAATTTCCCTGTCCGCCCTTCCGGTTCTCAATGAGGAGGAGGACGCGAGTCTCCTTTGCCCCGTCAGGGCATTAAGAGCTTATGTGTCGTGCTCGTCTGTTATCAGACAGACTGAGCAGCTTTTCGTTTTGTTTGGCGGGCGCTCCAAGGGACTTGCCGCCTCAAAACAGAGCCTATCCAGATGGATAGTGGATGCCATTGCGCTCGCTTACACTGCAAAGGGCCTGCAGTGCCCCTTGGGTGTCAGAGCGCACTCCACGAGAGGCGTGGCCTCTTCGTGGGCATGGTCTAGCGGGGTTTCCCTGCAAGATATCTGTACGGCCGCGGGCTGGGCCTTGCCTCTACATTTATGAAATACTATAACCTGGAGGTACCCGCCTTACAAGCTAAGCTTTTGGCGGTCAAAAAATTCAGTGCTATCTGCCCCGCTGTGCGGCCCAGATGCTGAGTTTTGCTGCAGCCCCATGAGTGTTGACACACGTATGGCCACCCAGATCAGGCTGAAAGCTTTCACCCTGGCTGCGCGTTTTATTGTCATATGATAGCCCCACTGGGTGCTATTTTATAAGGAATGACGCTTCCAGCCTCTCTTCCTCCACTCTATGTGAGTTTATGGTGATTATGCACTATATGAGCCCTGGGCTTCGGCCCCTGGGACTTTGGTGTTGGATCCCTGTACGCACGGCGTGTTGCATTGTGTTCCCCTAGCATAAGCTATTACGCAGTACGAGAGATACTCTCGTAAGAGAAGGTACTCGGTTACTAACGTAACCTCGGTTCTCTCTAGAGAGGGAACGAGTACTGCGTATCTTGCCGTGCTTGGAATACGCTCTGGTTCGCTTCGGCGATGAAAACGAGCTTGTACCAGCCTAACGAGCATATTTATAGAGTGAGACCACGCCCTTTCTGGCGGGACGTGACGATATGGGCGCGAGTTGCCCCCATTGGTCATTACGTCACGCAGAGTCTCTCTCGATAGGCTGCTGCATTTGCCGCAAGAGCACCCAATAGGCGCGCGAGCTGTATCGCCTGTGTCTGCTTGCTGCTGCAAAGCGTTTTACATTAATAAAAAATTAAGGATAATTTTTGGCTTCAATATCTCGTGGAAAAGAGGTTTTCCCCTTGCGTAAGCTATTACGCAGTACTCGTTCCCTCTCTAGAGAGAACCGAGGTTACGTTAGTAACCGAGTACGTTTTTAGCAGGTCATTGTAACTGCACATTTTTTTAAATATTTTTTGTTGTTGTTCAAGAGCAGTTGATTTATATCTTTAGTGAATTATGACTAAAGATATTTTAAAGTACACAACACAATAATTTAGTTCACGTCAGACGCGAGTGAAAGTAATGGTGACTTGCGGTTCAGTAAGTCAGATGTTAGTTCACTATTATAATGATACAACAGGTCACTTGGGAGTTCTTAAGGTCTTTTTGAACAATTCAAAGGGCAATAAAATAACTGGCTCATTAGAGTCATACATTTGTAAATCTGACTAAACTGTTTGTTTTTGCATGAGGACAAGGCAATGAAACAACGTGTTGTATATTATTTTGAAGAAACCTATTCTTTTACTCACATTCATGTGGGTTTATAAGTATCGTTTGTGTTTCTTAATAAATAAATAAATATATATATATATATATATATATATATTATATAGTAAATATGTCACATCAAACTAAGTATTAAAGAAGGTTTTTTATTCCTTGCCATAATGCCCACATACAGTATTCTTGTACTGACAGACATTTTTCCAGTGCTTGACCCAGATGCTCTTAATCAGTCTGTCTTGGTGACCTTATTTACACTTTGTTCATGGCATCAATGCAATTTTTATCATTGTAGAAATCTCAGGCCTTCCATTGACACCATGTCCTTTACACAATGGTAACCATGCCAACTCACTCCTCACTTATTACCTGGTTTTAGAGTGCGGCATTGGACGTGTCATTCACAGGGGGATTATGTAGGGCTGTAGCGATACACTAATCTCACGATACGATACGATACACGATATTCGGCTGACGATACGATATATATCACGATATTCAGCCAACGATACGATTCGATATAATTCGATACACTTACATCATTTTCTGAAAGATTTAAAGGGGACAGAGTGATTTTGGTGACATCTTGTGAGTCTTCCATTTACTTGGATTGAATTAATTGAACTGAAAACTGAAAACATCATTTACACAATATATGTCTCTGACTGGGCAGAGAGTACAGCTTGCAAATGCTGGACAAAATGAATCAAATATGTGTAGAGAAAATTAGTTCTATTTATTGAAAGACAACAGTGCAAACTGTAGCTTATAAGCCTTTGTTAATTGCAATACTGCACTTTATTTACTTTTCAATGGAGAGTTAAAAGGTGCAGCAAGTGGCCTGTTGTGAACAGTTTCTTTGCACTGCCTTTTCTTTGACAGCTTTTTTAGCTTGACACTGAACATGTGACGTGCTTCAGTTGTGCGCGAGGTCAAGCCGTCGCACGTCAGGGAAACTCTCTCCGCGCTGGCCAGGGAGGCTTTGACGTGTGCTCTTGCCTGAGTGTACAGCCTGGGAATGCAAACCTTGATGAGGTGTTCGCGGGTTGGAATAGGATAGCGGGGCTCCATCGCGTTCACCATGCGCCTAAAGCCGGCGTTTTCCACCACCGAATACGATTTTTTTTACATTTTTTTTTTTTTACTAAGCCTATTTAAAATCGTATTTGATTGCAGAGCGCCGCAGCGCATTCACGCAGCACTACCTCGCTCTCGCTCTCTCTCTCTCTCTCTCTCTCACACACACACACACACACACACTCATCCGTACCTCGCGCACTTTCTCACTCACGGAACACCGCTGCACAAATCTGTCCAACACAGCGCTGTCAATTTCGGAGACCCAGCTTTAAAAAAAGCTACTAGCCAGCATGCAAGGAGCCTAGCCAACAAGGAGAGCTAAGTTGTTGTTTGAATACAGCTGGATTTTCGTCAATATCGATGCACGCGCGCAGCTGGCCACTAGCGGCTGGCTGACCAAATCACTCTTCATGCAACGCGAACGGGTTTAACACGGGGGATTTGAATGGGACTTATGTATCGATACTCGCGGCCTAAAAATCGATACTTTCTTGGGAGAAAAAATATCGATTTATATCGCAGAATCGATAAAATCGCTCAGCCCTAGGATTATGTTAGTATGCCTGAATTAAGCTTCTGGAAAAAGGACATGCTGACAGATGCCTCAGGCAGTGGAGCAGAGTTGAACTGAGTGCAGAAATGTGGCTTCCTGCAGGTTGCCCAACACCATCGGTATCAACGTTGCTTCTTTAAGTGTGTGTTTGAGTTCAAACAGGGTGGACAGGTTAATTGATCCTGTAGATAAGCCAGTGTCAATCATTAACTCATCTAGCAAAACCATGCCTTCTCTTATTAACTGATAATTTGGTAATACAAAAGCTAATTTATTTTCATATCTTAATTGAAATATTCTTGCTGTTCGAGCCATAGCAAAGAAACTGAAGATTTCAATTCCCTTATCTTACAAAGGCCAGTTTCACAACTAGCATTTTCTGCATTCTAAATACACAATACAATAATATGTAATTTCAGTTACTCCTTAATTGGAGATTATGCACACCTCAATCTGCTCTTAAGTGATATTTTCCTTGGTTTTGCTTGGTTTCTTCTCACATCACAGTTAAGCATGTGAAATTAAAGCATTAAACAATTCTACAATTCTAAAAATAAACCAGACCTCTGCAGAACACTTTTAAAATCACCTGTTAAAAATGAAAAGTCCCCTATGGAGTGGCTGCCGTACCACTGATTTCTTGTTTGATTGTGTGTTCAGAGGCAGTCGGAGCCCGAGACCCCTGCAGTGATGCCTGCATGGATGCAGAGTGTGGATGTTCTGAGGGAAGCTGTAGCTGGCTTCAGCACAATGGAGGAGGTGATGAAATACCTGGAGCCTGATCGCTGGCAGGTGGACATGGAGGACCTCTACAAGCCTAACTGGCAGGTGGTGGGCAAATCGTTCTTCCATCAAAAGAAATCCAGGGGTAAATATCCTGACTTTGGAAGTACTTAGTCAATTGAAACATTGGAACATGCTTTTATTTATTTTTTTACCTGTTGTCTATTTTTGTTTGCGTAGGAATGGTGGACCTGAACCTGCTTCGTGAGGAGGTCCGACTTTACAGTTGCACTCCACGGAACTTTTCTGTCTCATTGCGAGAGGAGCTGAAAAGGACGGACGCCATCTTCTGGCCCAGCTGCCTGCTGGTGAAGCGCTGTGGAGGGAACTGCGCATGCTGCTCTCACAACTGCTATGATTGCCAGTGCTCGCCTACCAAGGTGGTCAAAAAATATCATGAGGTATAGCAAAGAACAAAAGGCCTTCCATTACACTCTGCATTTCACATTTAGGATTTATTTTACTTATAACTTCTTATATGAATAAATACTACGCATCTCACGTAACATTTCTGCTATTTATATGTTAATGTCATTGTGATGATGATGTTTTCAGATTATGATGAGTGCATGTCCAACAATTAAACATTAGCATTATACATACCAAATCTTCTTAAGGTTTTTTGTAGGCTTTATATAGGTCTTGGCAACACGTGATCTGCAACTCTAACCCAAATGAGGTGTAATATTATAATTAATTAACTTATTGTCTATAGGGCCACTTACTTAATTTATTATTTCTAACAATTAATAATAATATAATCTATCTGTTCTCAAATCTGCTTGTCCTTAATTGGGTCATGGGGAGGCTGGAGCATAGTACATATACATAGTACATATACATTTTATTTTTATATAAAAAAGTATGTGTTGGTGTGTGTATGTGTATATATATATATATTGTTACGCACCCTTAGACAAAAGGTCTTTAAAGGGGCAACATTGAGGTCGTGACCAGAAGATGGTGTATTTAAGGTGGCAAGAGACGACACAACAAAGTATTATGAAAGAAAATAAAGTACGGTTTATTGTACTTGAAGTGTAAATGCAAAAGATGGACAATAATAATAATGATGATAAATATATTTGTGGACACCAAGAAAATAAACAAAATATAAACAGATTGAGAGTTCAAAAAAATAAACAACCCAAGAGAATAAGGACATAAATAGTGACGCCAAATAAAAGAAAGAAACAAAACAAACTCCGACTATCTAGTCCCAACCTCTTACTAACTAATAACAAAAAGAAAAGAAAAGACAGTAATCTTCAGCGCCTAAGCGCCCTCTCTAGCTGTTCTAACTAATAACAAAACATCCATGGGTGGCGTTCACTTCCCTACCTGGGGTATGTATACATCGAGTTTGCTAAGTGTTGCTTTGTGTACGTCACGTGACATATTACCTGTCCGAATTTCTCTTGGTAACCTCAAAACACGCCATCATGGCAGAACACATTCCTCTTAGCAATCTCAGAACACGCCGTCATGGCAAAACACATTACACTTGGTAATCTCAAAACACGCCGTCATGGCAGAACACATTACACTTGGTAATCTCAAAACACGCCGTCATGGCAGAAAGAAAAAACAACAGGACAATATCTGTAACGGAAAATAAACACAAAGGCGGCAAGCAAAGCGACAGAAAAGAAAGCAAGCCGACATGCGTTCCTCTCCCGCTTCCCTTTAAAGGGTCACTCCACCCATTTCAACATTAATCTTTATTGAAAGTGGGTTATATATGTAGTCGAAATGTAAAAGAAATTTTAAATTTGGTGCCCTCTTGACCGAGAAAAGACAGAAAATAACTTTGGGGCGCATTTGTATGTAAGACAACAACTCCCACAATGCACCATGTTGCACAGCTCCGCAAGCCACTCCCACTAATCCAGAACAGCGCAAACATCAGAGAAATCGCTCTTCCGTCTACAAGAAGGCTAGCTGCCAAATGAGTTTAAAATTCATTTCACAAATGTCTAGTTAGTTGTGGCGAGCAGGACGAGGGCGAGGGACGTGAGAGGACGACGCGAGTGATAATGAATGGCACCTGTGCAGCGGTCTCATATCTCTCACGGAGGAGTGGAAGCACAAAAGGAACAGGCCTGATTTTATGTTTTGTTTCTGTTGTGTGTGGCCAGCTGGCTTATACTTTTGTTTTGTATTTGTTTATTTTACTATTAAAACGTTTAAATGTTCGCCGGTTCCAGCCTCCTTCTTCCCACAACAACGAACCCCGTTACATTGGCAAACTCATTAGTGAATTACTCGTTTGTATTTCTTTCTATATGGTGAATTATTGCATGATACCTGCATGTTCAGTCAGGCGAAACTAGGATGGTTCACATCACAACACAAACGTCCGTGTGGTCGTCTGATTCAGAGATTTCGTCCAGGAGAAACTGCCTTGTTGAAATTCTCTGCAGCAGACGGACTCTATCTGTGTCCGTAGCGCACAGCGAGAGCACACGCACCAGCAGTCCGCCCAGCTCAAGCCAGCCCGGGCTCCTCGTCCGCGACAGGCAGCCGCCTCCTGTTCCACCATCAGCCTCAGCTGCTCTTCACTATATTGCGGCTCGTAAAGATAGCCACGAACAGCGGATTCGAGCAGCAGAATTTCAAAATCCTCTTCTTCCATATCATGTTTAGTTTCTTCCGTCATTGTCGTAACTTCCTATATCCACAGCGCTTGTTAGCTTAGCTTATAAACAAGATGGCTGATATTGCTTTCAGTATCTGCAAGTGAAGTCCCACCCACTGATCTGTGATAGCTCTGTTAGCGCATTAGGTCCAACCCCCTATGGGCGGGTTTGAAAGGGTGGGAATTTGTGCTTGTAGTCTATACAGAAATCCCCCCTTTTTACACTTCCTCCTACAATGACGTCAAATGACGATTTTTGCGTCATTGTAGGAGGAAGTGAAAAAGGTAAATAGTAGATTTCTCTCGTCTCAGGGGAAAATGAAAGAATGTTGCACGACCATTCAATAGTATGACTGGTTGTCTAACAATGGACCTCTTAATGCAAATGGGTGGAGTGTCCCTTTAAACTCGAGTGTTGAACTTGATAGGCGGCGGGAAGGAGATGACGTCACGATGTAATGATGATTGACATCTCTCCCAGCCAACAGCAGATGAGTGAGGACGCACACCTAAGAAGGTGATAGCAGAGAAAGAGAAACCAAAAGAAAACACATACGCGGAACCACAGGGACGTAACAATATATATATATATTTATTTATTTATTTATTTATATATTTATATACACAGTATCTCACAAAAGTGAGTACACCGCTCACATTCCAGCAAACATTTTAGTATATCTACTCAAGGGACAATATAGAAATGAAACTTGGATATATTTTAGAGTAGTCAATGTGCTGCTTGTATAGCAGTATATATTTACTGTCCTCTGAAAATAACTCAACATACAGCCATTATTGTCAAAATAGCTGGCAACAAAAGTGAGTTCACTCTAAGTGATGATAGCTGTACGTCGTTTAACCATGCAAAGCCACATGTCCTATTCATCATTTTCATGTTTTTGTCTGCTTGACAGGACCACACAAATTGTTGTATCTTGTATTAGAGCAGTTACAATTTGTGCTTTGAGTACAATTGTCTCATACTGACCACTGGATGTTCAACATGGCACCTCATGGCAAATAACTCTCTAAGGATTTGAGAATTAGAATGGTTGCTCTCCACAAAGTGTACCTAGGCTATAAGAAGATTGGTAACACGGTAACACCCTGAAACTGAGTTACAGTACAGGCCAGGGTCATACAGAGGTTTTCCAAGACGGGTTCCTCTTGGAACAGGCCTCGCAAGGGTCAATCAAAGAAGTTGAGTCCTCGTGCTGTGCATCAGGTGCAGAAGCTGGCTTCAAAAAACAGACGCATGAGTTCTGCCAGCATTGCTCTAGAGGTTGCAGAAGCAGAAGGTCAGCTTGTCAGTGCTCAGACCATACGCCACACACTGAAAAAAGTCAGTTTGCATGGCCGTCGTCCCAGAATGAAGCCTCTTCTGAAGCTGGCTCACAAGAAAGCCTGCAAACAGTTTGCTGAAAGCAACCTGTCCAAGAGCCTGAATTACTGGAACCATGTCCTGTGGTCTGATGAGACTAAGATAAACTTGTTTGGCTCAGATGGTGTCCAGCATGTGTGGCGATGCCCTGGTGAGGAGTACCAAGAAAATTGTGTCTTGCCTACAGTCGAGCATGGTGGTGGTAGCATCATGGTCTGGGGCTGCATGAGTGCTGCTGGTACTGGGGAGCTGAGCTTCATTGAGGGAAACATGGATTCCAACATGTACTGTGACATTCTGAAGCAGAACATGATGCTCTCCCTTCAGAAACTGGGCCGAACGGCATGATAACGACCCCAAACACACCACCAAGATGACAACTGCCTTGCTGAGGAAGCTGAAGATGAAGGTGATGGAGTGGCCAAGTATTTCTCCAGACCTGAACCCTATTGAGCACCTGTGGGGCATCCTCAAGTAGAAGGTGGAGAAAGAACCATGTGTTTAACATCCATCAGCTCCGTGATGTCATTATGGAGGAGTGGAAGAGGATCCCAGCAACAACCTGGGGTGTGTTTCCCGAAAGCATCGTTAGCCAACTGTGGTCGCAAGTTCCGTCGTTACCAATAGAGTTCAATGGAAATTGCGATCATAGTTGGATAACGATGCTTTCGGGAAACGCACCCCTGTGCAGCTCTGGTGAATTCCATGGCCTGGAGGATTAAGGCAGTGCGAGATAACAATGGTGCTCACACAAAATATTGACACTTGGACACAGTTTTGACATGTTCACTTAGGGTGTACTCACTGTTTTGCCAGCTATTTTGACAATAATGGCTTTATGTTGAGTTATTTTCAGAGGACAGTAAATATATACTGCTATACAAGCAGCACATTGACCACTCTAAAATCTATCCAAGTTTCATTTCTATAGTATTGTCCTTTGAGAAGAAATACTAAAATGCTTGCTGAAATGTGAGGGGTGTACTCACTTTTGTGAGATAATCACTTTTATCTCTTTTATAAAATGTGTATATATATATATATATATAATAAATAAAATGTATCCAAATAAAATTTATATAAATGTATTTGTATCTATTTAGATGTATCTATTATTCATGTGTTCATGTTTATTATATATTTATATTTTATTTATATTTAAATGCATTGTATATATTAATATAAATGCTTGTGGCACATTTTAATTTGAGTTGGTTCCAAAATTAATCTTGAGTTTAGAGAAAATGTACGTGTAAATCATGATTTGGACATGGTTAGTAAATGAGACCCATTGGGTGTAAATGGTAAAGTTATTATATGTTTAAGTGCTTGAATCATTTCGTGTGTGTGTATTGCCGTCTGTGTCTATATTTGTCTGTTTTTGTGCAGGTTCTGATGCTGAAACACAGGGCAGGGAGTCGGGGACTCCAAAAGACTCTAACGGATGTCCCCCTGGAGCACCATGAGGAGTGTAACTGTGTGTGTAAAAATGACTCCGACTAAAGCGGTCCCACCAAGAGAGAGCTACACTGGCCCCCCACAGACTCACCCAGGGAATATGTCTTGTTTTGTGCATAAATGAGCTCGAGTTTTTACCCTGACGTTGCAAACTAATGAAACCCAGCGCTGGATATCTTTTTATCTTGACTTATCTAAGCCTTCGGTTCCACTGGTTTTGGGCTCGCAAATCCATAAAGAATTGACCCATGAAGAAGAGAGCATGGAGTATTTGGAGGAAAATTGGACACGGTCTTGCTTGTCTGTGTGTATGTGGAGGTTTGTGAACAATGTGCGTATGTACATTTGTGAGGTAAATTGTGATTTGTTGCAGGTTCAGAAAATGAGGTATTCCAGGATAACTAGAAAGCCTGAAGTGAGGTTGCCATTACTTGGGGCAACAAGTGGATTTGGCATGTTCTTTTACATCATTTTTTTTCTTTACTTATTTTTTTACAACTTAAATCTCAAAGGACCTTGACTATGCATCCACTTTCAGTGATCCAAGGACATTTTTTGAGGTGGCATGAACATTCTCCTCAATAGCATCCCAAAGAAATTGTCTAAACTGTGTCATAAGCCAGTATTTCGTCGCCTACTCATCTGTGAAATGAAATTAGACATTTTCATTAATAATTCTTAAAGAATATTCCAGGAAAGATAAGGATGTCCATCTTTTTTTAAACCAGAGCTGAGCGGTCATGTCTGCATTTTCTGCTCATTTACTATGAACTATAGACTCATATGAGAATGACTCCATTCAAGAGAGAACGCTAAAATACAAAAGTGAATCTTGTGTAAATACATTTCAAATTGTCATTTGTCAACTTTTTCTATGTCATTATTGTTTTTGGTACGAAAATTTTGGCATGTAACAATATTTTTTTCCCCTTTCATAATCGCTGTAGTATTTTCAGTGTTAGTCACCCTTTTGTAGAGACATTCATACATTTGTGTTGTTGTTTTATATTAAGATCGTTATTTTGACTGGAGACAAAATATTCTGAAAACTATTAGATGTTCATGTAAATAGACTTTTTAGAAGTTAAAGGGACATAGAACTGCCAGTAACATATTCCACTACCATTAAACGGTTAACTAAATTGTTGTGGTTTTTCCAAATGGCACTTAAAGCATTGGTTTGTTCAAGTAATCTGCAGTTGTCACAAAATTGCAAAGCACTGCCAGGGAACCTATAACTTTGAACTATTAACTCAACTGCAATCTGTCTTTTACGGAAGCGTATTGCATTCACTTGAAGAAAAAAAAAATCTGGAATGGGATGGAATGACCACAACTGCATGGAGTAGATTATGTGAATGCTGAAACAATATAACAAAATGAAGACAATGTGATTTATTCACAAATCATCACAAATTCAGTTTTGATTTCATGGAAAAAGGAGCTGAGTAAACAAGACATGCAGCATTATTCACATATTTTTATTCCGCCTTAGATGACCTTTTCTGCTGTCATTTTGTCAGACTATTATTCTTTGATGTAATATTTTTATGACTTGTTTTCATACTTTGATCACAGATTCCTCACACTTGGCAAACCAATTTAACAAGCCACCTACTGTAAGCAGGCTTTGAGATCATCTTTAAAAGAAAAGCTTGGTTTTTTTGTGCATTCTGACAGAGGGGATGAGAATCTGCATTTTGTTCTGTCATGTGAAAGTGAGAGAAGTCCCTTGATGTTGTCAAACAGCACACAGAAATGCAAATCATCAAGTTTCTCTTCATGAGACTCATTTACGGCTCTGAGAGATAAAGAATGCTTGTAAAGGGTGTTCCTCATCATCTCTTGATGGTTTACATCTTGAAATGTGTGTGTCAGTTCAGATCATCGTCAGATCCCCCGTACATTGGAGTCTTAAAGCGATGTGAAGTGTATTTTTTTTCTGTTAAAATACTTTCTTCTAACCCATCTTAAATCGGAGAGACCTAGACATTCATGGATTGATTCTCTGAAAAATATAAACACAGTGGTTCTGTTATCAAAACTCTTGCTTTGTTGAAAATCATATTTTTGCAATATAGTTTGGTCATGTTAGTTAATACTTTGTTAGAGGTCATTACTAAATAAAGATTGTTATTATTTCATGAGAATAATAACATGAAGGCCTGGTTTCACAGACAGGGCTTAGATTAAGCTAGGATTAGGCCTTAGTTCAATTAGGACATTTAGGTAGCTTTTATAAAACATACCTTAGACAAAAAAATTATGTGCACTTTGAGACAAATCAATGGCACTGACATATTTTGAAGATATGTCAGTGCAAGTGCCTTTCAGTTAAAACAGCTCAAACATGCATTTTAGTCTGGAACTTGGCTTAAGCCTTGTCTGTGAAACCGGGAAGACTCTTAATATGCATTAGCACAGGTCTGCATTTTCTACAGATGAAATTCACTGTCACAGTTAATAGTAAAAATTGATGGCTGCAAGTGTATGAGATTGTCTGGGAACAAAGCATGAATGTATTTAACCAGATGTGCGTATATATGAGCGTTGCACTGTGGGCTTGGTCTTATTTAGATAATTACATGGTAGGTGCTCTGTGGTTCTCCAGGAACTGGCTGTGGTTTCTGGGTAAAGTAATGACCTGACATCTGAGTGGCATTAATCAATGATGATGACAGTTTGCCTTTCCACTGCTTGTGTCATTGTGAAGCAGTCACGTTTTAGATAAACAAAAATCTTACACTACTGTTCAAAATGTTTGGGTTGGTAAGATTATTATTATTTATTTATTTATTTTGCTTTGCTTTGCTTTTTAAAGAAGTTCACCAATGCTGCATTTACTTGATCAAAAATCAAATATAAAAGTAATAGTGAAATATTTTTACAATTTAAATCAAATGTATATTTTAAATGTAATTTATTCATAATTAAGCTGAACTTTCAGCATCATTACTTCAGTCTTCAGTCTCACATGGTCCTTCAGAAATTATTCTAATATGCTGATTCAACGCTATCTCACGACCAATTCGTACGAATTTGTACAAGTGATTAAAAGGTGGCTAATTCGTATGAATTCGTACATTTGTTGTCTAAACCCACGTGATGGGTAGATTTAGGGGCGGGGTCTGGGGTAGGTCATTCGTACAAATACATATGAAAATATGTACGATATAGCAAAAATCGTACGAATTAGCCACCTTGTAAAACTCGTATAAATAAAAGTATTCATTTCTTTAAACAAAAATCGTACTGATCCTAAACTTTTGAATGGTAGTGTATACACAAATTATTATTTTTGACATCCTGACTAATACAATCTATATATTACTTTAAAATTGTTAAAATATTTTAAAATTGCACAATTCTACTATTATGCCTGATCTTGCCTGTTTTATACATGTGGGAAACTTTGTGCGCACAGTTTTAGATTTATTAAAATACACAGTAACAGCATGCCCACTGAAAAACATTTATTCCACAAGAACAAGTCCAAGCTGTAACTGCACTAAAAGTAACACTAAGATGTGGTTTGATTCCCTTTAGCACTGAATATGCATAACTCATAACTCATAAGCAGGGTCTGTAATCTCTTTCTAGAACATTCAGTGCTTTTACCACACAAAACATTACAGTCACATTGTCTCAAACATCATGTCAATGTGTGGTGTTTGTTTGTGTGTGTGATAGGGTTGATAAGCTTATTCCGAAGGGGCAGGGAAAAGGCCATTTGTCTTGGAAAACCTTAATCTGTCATGTCCAATTAGAACAGATAGAGGGTAAAGTGTAGACTGTACTGCATTTGCCTGTAGTCTTTGAATAATGCATGTACTTCATTGGCACGTATACGTATTCAGGGTCCTGGAAGGTTAATACATCTAATACTGTTTTCATAATCCAAACTAAGTTAATATAAGTGAGCTTTGACTTTCTGAAGTGTTATTGTAGACAAGATGGCAAAGCGGTCAAGGCCACACTCTATAATCCACCGTGTGTCGCACATGTGAGAGAAAATCACATTTTCCTCAGGTGGTGGGTTACGGTTGGACTCAATCTCAAGGAGCTGACAAATTTAAAACTTGAAAGTGTGGTTCCAGTCCTGCTACATTATCAGTTGACTAGATTTGCATTTCCTGAATAATGATGTTGAAAATGCAGCTTTGTTATCACAGGAATAAGTTAAATTTTAAAATATATTAAAGATAAAAACAAATGTAAATATTTTGTATCCTATTTTTTTTTTTTTTTTTTTATAAATGCAGTTTTGGTGAATGTAAGAGACATCTTTCAAAAACATTGAAAAAAATCGACCAACCTCAAACTTTGTCAAAAAAGCAGACCAATCATAATTTAGTATGTAAATATTATGATGACACCATCAGTACCAGTTACGTTTTGAATGGCAGATCATTCTATCATTAGAACAACGGTAACACTTTAGTTTGGGAACTAATTTCTTACTATTACAGGGTTAGTTCACATACAAATTAAAATTCTGTCATCATTCCCTCATGTCGTTCCAAACTTGTAAGAATGTTTTGTTCATCTTCGGAACTCAAATGAAGATATTTTTAATGAAATCTGAGCTATTTCTGTCTCTCCATTGACGGCTACGCAACTTCCATTTTGACGCTAAAAAAAAAGTTCATAGAGGTAGTAAAATTAATCCATGTGAATTGAGTCCAAGTCCAAACAGTTCATTTTCTGAAGAGTCTCGACTGCTTTATATGATGAACAGATTGAATTTAGGCTTTTATTCACATATAAACGCACGCATGACGCATCAGTTGTGGTAAATGGAAGCTCAGGCATGTTTGCTTGATGCTCGAGAACCAATGAGGTTCATTCTCATGTGTTAAGCAGCTCGTTTGAGCTTCCGCAAGAACCAATGAGGTTTGTTCTCACGCGTCAATCAGGTTCGGCTGAGCTTCTGTTTGTGTTCGTTGATCAATGTTGAATAAAACATTGCAGCGTTGTTTTATGTGAATAAAAGCCCATTTAATCTGTTCATCATATAAAGTGATCGATTCTCTTCCTAAAATTTGGACTAAACCTCTCTTTATGAACTTTATGAAGCCTCAAAGTGGTAGTTGCGTAACTGACTATGGAGAGTACAGAAAGCTCTCAGATTTCATTAAAAAGATATTTGTTTTCCAAAGATGAAAAGTCTTACAGGTTTGGAACGGCATGAGTAATTAATGAAATAATTTTTGAGTGAACTAACCCTTTAACTAGTTTCTTATTAGCTTGCATATTACTAGCAAATTGGCTATCATGTAGGCTAATATAATGTATTAATGCCTTATTCTGCATGACCATATTCTACTTAATCCTATACCAATACCTAAACTTAACCACTACAACAACTAACTTACTAACTATTAATAAGAAGTAAATTAGGAGTTTATTAAGGAAAAAGTCATAGTTAAAAGAGAATGTGTTCCCCAAACTAAAGTGTGATCAGAAAAACTGATTGCACATCAAAGGCGGAAAATATACAACTAAAATATTTTCTTTTTCAATTTTTTTTTTTACATATTTTAAAACTATTTGGGCTGGATAAATTGTGGAAGCTCAATGTTTAAATCTTAAGGGGTTTGAACAATCCGAATGTTTGAAGAATATCAATGCAGCGTTGCCTTTAAGCACTGCAATAAAGATCCCACATACAATTGCTTTGTGTTAACAGTTGTAGATCAATCAAGTGAGTTTGGGATGATTATAGCCTGGGGTTTTAGGATCTCTGTTAATGAGGAGGTCTTAAGTGTGATGAAAAAGAAGGGAAGAAAAAAAAAAGAAGAGTTTTGCTTCTGAAACAAGGCAAATGCAAATAATGTTCAACTAAAAATAGGAGAAGCCATAGTTTGATAATTTATAATTGCTTGAGTAACTAGAACTGTTCAGTATTATATTCAGTGTGTGTGTATGTATATATATATATATATATATATATATATACACTAAAACACTCACTGTGGAACTGTGAACGTCTTAGTGGTTATTCCCACTGTGACATTATTATGCAAATGAAGAAAAAAAACATTGCAGGTGTAAGGCATATTAATGTCAAAAGCATTAATGCAATGTCATTGCATGGCTGGTAGTCATAATTTCTTCATATGTGAAAGAGCAGCTTCTCCAT